TGGGAACTGGGGAATGGGGGAACTGGGGGAACTGGGAACTGGGAACTGGGGAATGGGAACTGGGGACTGGGAACTGGGGAAACTGGGAACTGGGAACTGGGGACTGGGGACTGGGAACTGGGGACTGGGAACTGGGGAACTGGGGGAACTGGGGAAACTGGTAAGGGACTGGGGAAACTGGGAAACTGGGGGGGAACTGGGGGAACTGGGGGAACTGGTCAGGGACTGGTTAAACTGGTTAAACTGGGTGAACTGGGTAGACTGGGTAAACTGGTCAGGGACTGGTTAAACTGGTTAGACTGGTCAGGGACTGGTTACAGACCAGTTAGAGACTGGTTAGACTGGTCAGGGACTGGTTAAACTGGTTAGGGACTGGTTAAACTGCTTAGGCACCAGTTAGGGACTGGTTAGACTGGTTAGGGACCAGTTAGGGACTGGTTAGGGACCAGTTACACCAGTTAGAGACCAGTTAGAGACCAGTTAAACTGGTTAGAGACCAGTTAGGGACCAGTCAGGGACCAGTTACACCAGTTAGAGACCGGTTAGGGACCAGTCAGGGACCAGTTACACCAGTTAGAGACCGGTTAGGGACCAGTCACAGACTGGTTCTAGCCCAGTTCCAGCCCAGTGACACCAGTTAAACCAGTAACACACCAGTGACCTCACTGACCGCCCAGTGCTCCCAGTTCCTCCCAGTATCACCAGTATCCCTCATTCCCGAGCTCTCCCAGTGCTCCCAGTTCCTCCCAGTGCTCCCAGTACCCCTCATTTCCACTCCCTCCCAGTGATCCCAGTACCACCAGTATCCCTGACTCCCAGTCCCTCCCAGTTGCTCCCAGTACCTTCCCCGTGCGCCACCCACACCCCGAGGGTGGCCCCCTCCATCCCCCAGTGCTCCCAGTACCACCAGTATCCCTCATTCCCAGTGTTCCCAGTCCCTCCCAGTGTTCCCAGTTGCTCCCAGTACCACCAGTATCCCTCATTCCCAGTGCTCCCAGTCCCTCCCAGTGTTCCCAGTACCACCAGTATCCCTCATTCCCAGTGCTCCCAGTCCCTCCCAGTGTTCCCAGTACCACCAGTATCCCTCATTCCCAGTGCTCCCAGTCCCTCCCAGTGTTCCCAGTACCACCAGTATCCCTCATTCCC